TTATGTTAAGTACGTAATAAAAAAATAAAATGACAAATAAAAATAAGAAGCACGTTTTTCAATTTGTACTCATTTTACTTTTACATACATATTTTCATTCAAAATATAATCCGTTATTTAAATATATTTCTATGTCCCTAAGGCTCTTGATTGGACACGACAACAACAACAACAACCATGTCCCTGAAGTTGTGTGAATGAAGTGAGGCAAAAATATGTTACACTAGGTTATGTCACCTATTAGATTCAGTGCACTAAATAGAAGTTATATCTAAGCAATGTGTAATATATAGGTAACAATAATCTCTTGGGCTACATTCGATTATGCTCTGTCCCTCTCCATTCTCCCTCTTCAATTTGACGCAAAGTATTTTCTTAATAATTTTCTATGACATACAATGGGCGATGTGTCGGAATCAGGAGTTTCTTTTTATTAATAAAGTAAACTATTTTTTAAAACTATTTCATAGGAATTTTTACTTGTTAAGACACATAATGATGAATAGCAAGCTTTCATATATCTTTTCAGATTAAAATGTTTATTTATTCCTATTATTCTTCTTTTTCTTAATAAAATAAACTGTTTTTTTTAAAACTATTTCAAAGAATTTTTACTTCTTAAGACACATAATGATAAATAGCAAGCTTTCACATATATTTTTCATATTAATATGCATTTATATATATTGGTGATATCTTGATGACTGATGAATTTAAAATAATTTCAGCCGCCTTGACTCGCGTAAGATGTTGGCGGTTTAAGGTTTGAGGAAAATGTGGACATCAATATTTCATTTTCCTGAATATATCCATATAATAAATTGTTTATAATTTGTAAGATGCTTACATACAAAGATTATTTATTTAACCCTGAAATAACAAATATTTCAGAAAATCAACTTCTAATAAGATTATTTAACATCTAATTTCTGTAGGTATTAATCTAATCACATATTAACTTAATAACGAAGTACTTGTCAATACCAATACCAATTTCAGATTATCTTGGATAATTTTAAACATTGATTATTTTATTTGAGAGAATGGTATTGAACTGTATATAATGTCTCTAATTAAAAAGGCATATATTGGATCAAAATATCATTTATTGATCCAATATATGCCTTTTTAATTAGAGATTTATTTATGGATTGCTCTATTTTCAAATTATAAAGTCACATAATAGCATTTTAAAGGCTTCAATAAAGAAATTTTTAATACAGTCCTCTTTTTACATATATACAAGAGCGTGATCGTGAACATGTTTTGTGTGTGTGTGTGTGTGTGAATTTTTGCTTATGTTATAAGCGACACACTTTGTACCACTCCATTAAAACCATTGTGGTTTGAGAGATATGAACATTTTGTAGTAAAAACTAAAAATCCAAATAACTTTAGTTGGTTATTTAGATATTTTGTCATTTTTGTGAATATTTGGGGGGGATTGATGACTGCTAATGTTTTCTCCATCATATGCCACGTATATTTATAGTTAGGAGGTGTAAGACTATGTACTTCAATAGAGAGATACCATAGAAACTTCGTTGGTCATAATTACATTATTGTATGGAGTCATGGAACATGTAGGTTGATAATGTCAGTGAAATCTAGCAGACTATGTACTTTGATGATTCCATAAACACCCTTTGGTTGTATTTACACTGTTGTATGGAATTCGGAAAGACTTAGGCGGGCGGTGTCACTGAAATCTAGCAAAATATGTTATTTCAAGATGCCATAAAGACCCGTTGGTTGCATTTACACAATTTGTGAAATTCTTACAGACTCAGGAGAACGGTGCCAGCGAATCTTATTAATAAATTATAATTGTTTAACATTTGGTATTGAACCTTCAAACCTAATATCTTAACTCCCAGCCAAAGATGTCTATGTAATGTGACAATATTCGGTTTAAATTAAGAAAAAGGCATCTCCTTATCGTGCAAATGAAAATTGCTGATGGCTTGCGCCATCTATCGGAATAAATATAAACTATTCTGTTTATTTTTAATTATTCTAGAATTGTTCAAATACCCATTCTTAATTAATCAAGAAAAGCTAACCACCTGTTTAATCAAGAATAGGTATTTGGCCAATTCTGGAATAGTTAAAAATCAACAGAATGGTTGATATTTATTCCGAGAGATGGCGCAAGCCATCAGCAACTTTCAGTTGTACGATAAGGAGATGCCTTTTTCTTAATCAACCCACCTTATCCTAGTACAATTTCACATTTGTACTATTTTTCACAATATTTGGTTTATCTTTCAATATAAAAACTCGAATCAGCACGCCGAGAGTAATATCTTCTAACTTATAATTGATTGATTAGATGGTCGATAAAAACATGCACGATGTGAGTACGTCTAATAGTTTCAGATTCGTATAGGTAAGAAAAACCATAACAATGATATTTTATGAAAATTCCAAACTATTATAGACGCGTATGATTCTTTTGCAATTAAACATTTACTACTGCCCTTACTGCAATGGAAATATTAATAGGAGGGACTGGCTCATCATTAATTTTTCCATTGCAGTAAGGGTAGTATAAAATGTTTAATTTTAAAATAATCATACTCGTCTATAATAGTTTCGAATTATCATAACAGATGGCGCGCAAATGCATCATAATGATTTTTTAGTTTAAATATATGTAATATATCCAAAGTTATTACACTGCAATATTTGATGTATTACACTGTTGTAGAATCCTGTCGACTTAACCGTTCTGTGACAATATCGTTGCGGAATTTCTTGTTGTTCGATTTGAATGGTGAGGATTGGTTGAAACGCAGTCGTTGAGTGGCAAGTGAAGCATACAGTTAGGAATAATCAGGACACGTGATGGGGTTTGAAAATAAAAGGCAACTGGGTTGGAGGAAGGAAAGCTTGAGAAGAGCGAAGCGGGTTTTGATTGTTAATTATCTGATCACATGGTGGTGATTGTACTTAGCTACGGGATGAGCAGAGGGAGAGAGGTCCAGAGCCGATGTCACCTCCTTGGGAGCCAAAGCACTACTGACAATTCTTGCTTTTCGATTTAACACCACGAGTTGTCTTCCTTCCCATTGGTCGAAGGATGGAACGTGTCCGTTTTTCTATTGGTTGACCTACTTAGTTATTGCTTCCTAATTGGACCGGCGGCTTTCTTTGGTGGAAGATATGCCCGGCCTGGTCAGGAAGTATCGGGTGTGTTCGACTCTATTTACTTCCGCGGTTATCAAATACCTCCGGTCCTGTCCGGAAATATTGGGCGTCTCTCTACTTTTATAACTTTTGCGGTCACCAGATACGTCCGGCCTCTTGTCAGGAAGTATTGACTGTACAAGTTATTAATACTTGTGCCCGCTTTTAGCCTGCTTCCTATGTCTTGTTGCTACTTTCTTTCCTCCAGTTACCTTATTCTTTATTAAATCTTTGAAAATTATACATTGTACATGCATAGTGGGTCGGGGGGCATACAATTATATACAAATTATGACATATATACATGAAATTTACAAAAGTATTCAAAGATATAAAAGAAAACAGTAAAATATATTTTGAGCGACCATTCAGGGACCAGAGACAAAATGGCTGGATAGTACAGGTTTATAACAAAAATTGGAGTAATTCTGAATCAATTTAAAATTCTAGGCACACACCAACATAATGCAAAAATAAATTATAAAATTAAAAAATTTCACGTAAAGAATTACTATTCGTTTTGAATATTAAAAAGTTTTCTTACCTCTATTTTAAGTAAAATGTATTACAAGTATTTTAAAATTAGCAATTTTAGGCAGAAGAAGCGTTCCATTTCGTTGATGTTCCAGCTAAATGCTTTTTTTTTTTGTGACGGGAAATATTTTAACAACATTTCCAACTTAATTGCATTTTACTTAATTTATCCTTTTAACCAAGCTGATGACAAAAAAAAACGTAAAAAGTCCATGAAACTTGAACTTTTTGGGTCCAATATGAATAATCTTTTTTTTTTTTCTAATGGACCAAACCGAAATTGTGAAGTTAGAAAGCCATGTTCAATCAGAAGCAATCTGAAAGCTATGTTTCAAAGAAGGTTTAGTAATGTTATAGATAAAGAGAGATCGGGGTAGAGTGCCAGTGCTATATGAAATCTACATAGGAGTTTTGATAAAGACATAAATATGTAATGGATAAAATAGTCGTCTGCCTCTCGAACCCAGCAACATGACTGATGTAAAAAAGTGCAAATCTCTACCTCATCACAATCTACATAAGCCTTATGTATTGCCTAACATAGTCTCACCATTTAATGTGCTCATGATGGAAATAAAGGCCCAAAAGTTATTATTCGAAAGTGAATAAGCGACGATCAACCTAAGATGCTAAATATTTGCAAAAACAAGTTCTATAATTCGCTAGTTCATTTATGTAAAATAATAAAAACACATATAATAAAAGTATTAACGAATTTAAAAACTGTTATTTGTTTATTTTTCAACAAGGTTTATGCTCTAAGAAATCGTGATCTCAAGTAGTTGTAATTATTATTTATAAAAGATATATACACGTTATATAATAGGGCCTTCTATCTCCCTCCTTAGGCCTAAAGCGAGCATTATTTATAGCTTTCTTATCTCTATGCAAATAATAAAAAGTAAAATGAAAGCGCCATTACGCGTTACGGCTAGGCAGAACCCACTTATAACATCGCAGCTCCAGATATTAGATGCAACTGAGGCTGTTTGGCGATGAACAGCAGAATCATTTTGATCTTATTTTGTTTCGTCAAGTGAATCCCATTATTTCTATGCACCATTTCATTTATATATATTTATATTTAGTTTAAAAAGCATATATTGGTAAATAAATTATATTTTGTAAAACGACATTTGAAAATTATCCCGCATGTGTTTCTTTTCAACGAAAATTCAAAATTTATTTTAAAGAGAAATAACGATTATTTCTAACCTTAGGGATGAGGTATGAAAGGATGAATTGTGAAGAGTAATGATAAACGGAAAAATAAAAGTGTCCAGGGATGGGAACGGCATGTGTGGACATGGCATCTGCCCGGTAAGCGGAACACTGTGGGTTCGATTCCCATCCCTGGACACTATGTTTATTACGTTACCCTTCTGGTTTGTATTTTATCTAGCGTTTCCCAGCAGAGGTCATCAGATTGGAGGTTTAACTTGGACCTTGTGATCGATAAAGAATCTACTTTTAGTTTAACTATTATAGTTGTGATAAGGCGGAACCTTGTACTAAAGGGGCCTAAACTCAAAATAGGTCAAAGGGAGTTATAAGCTTTCTTTGTAACTATCACTCGTGATCAGCATCATCCACTGGTACTTTGAGTAGAAAGATATCCGGTATACCTTAGTGGGCTGAAATTTCTAATAACAGAATATCTCGAGATTTGGAAATGTTTACCAAGGACGCTAATCAACGCTCAGTGATACGTGATTATTCACTGTAAAATATTCAATTGTGATTAGCTTGCCTCAATGAGCGTGAGTAAGTCCAATATTAAATTCGATATATTAAACACAATTCAGATAATCTACCCAAATATCTATTTTCAAGATATTCACTTTCCTTTTTTCAGAAAACATACTGTCCGTTTCTAATAAGTCATAATGCTCGTTCATTGCAATTTTAACGAAATTTAGCATGACAACAAAAAATCACGAAGGAAAATGCATAAAATATATCAAAATGATAAATCACGTTTTATTCGTAATTTTCTTCAATAATTTCAGAGAGAACGTGGTAAATTATCTTTATAACAATAAATTTATGTGCACGAGAATTCATCCTGTTGAAAATTGAGAGAAAATGGGATTAATATTTAGGTCACATTTTAATGAAATGTTCATGGATATTGGGTGGGAACGGGGGATGTAAGGCTCCTTTATCAAAGACGAATCCGGTATGAAAGTTCTTGGCATCCAAGTACTTGCGTAGCGCTTCATATCGATAAGTATCCATGTCGCATGAACAGCAAAGCTCGTCGATAAATTTGCAGCTGAAATATCAGCGTAAAACCTCTGTAGGGAGAGTAGACCAGCTTAAAGTTAAAAGTATAATGGCATTCCTAACTTTCAAATGTATTTAGGCCTTTAACATTTAAAAATTCAATTAAGATAAAAATCGAAAATGTGTATAAATATTTTTTTATCATTTGAATGAATATGCATTTACGTTTTGTACTGGGGTGTTAAACAACATGCATAGTTTTAGTACAATTTAAAAAGAAGATAGCCACTTTTGGCACATATATATATTTTTCTGAAAATAGAGCAATCCATACTTAAATCATTAGATAGTAAAAAGGCATTTATCGGATTGAATAAAATATTTATTGGCAAAATTTCGGTTGGCTGAACGCCAACCTTTATCGAGGCATTACATTTTTGTATACACAAACTCAGCGCCTCATAGTGTTATATCACAGTTGAAATAATTTAAAATACAAAGTAGGTGAGGGAAATTTGTGCATGAAAAAATTATTTGGCAATAAATATTTTATTCACTCCAATATATGCCTTTTTACTATCTAATATATATATTTGTTGATGTGGTAAAATATATATACAATATTTTAAAAAATAATTTTAAGATGTTTATCTATTATATTAACGTATTAATATATCTATGCTACTGTTTGGGAAAATAAGGGATTTTTAAATATCATTTTCCCTCAGAAAAATGTCTCAATATGTGTAGGGGGAAGGGAAAGCTTTCAAGTAAAAAATAAAATATCTAGATATAAACTGCCTTAATTTTGAGCAAAGGAAATCATGGCGATGTGAGGAACAGTATTCTAGGATATTTCGAGCGACTCAAGTTTACAGTATTTCACTTAACTAAGGCAACACGATGATGGTAAGGAATGACTTGCGGAAATGGAAAAGAATGGAAGACTGTTTGGTAATGGAGAAGGTCGATCGATGTGGTAATAAGGATTTACAATACATACAAAATTGATATTTTCTGTAGTTCTTAGTAACATTATGTGGGTATAGCTGTGTATTGCACTATGAACATTTGTCATTTTTAGTTTAATATCAAAACTCAGATGTGAGGTGAACGTTCAGAACGATTTTAAGAATATTAATCAAATATTTTAACTATAAGCAATTAACCACGATGCTAGGAGTTTTCAGGAAGCGTGTAATAACATGAAAAGCCTTGGTGGTAGTTAAACAATTCATAAATGTCATCATAAAAGTGGAGCTATAACCAAATATTTTTCAAAGCATATTTACAATCAATATCATTTATATGCTCCATATGCCTTTTCTATGCCTAATATATACTCCTATTATTTATATGATTTAAAGATGAAAACACATCTATCAGCTTGAACCTTATCCCAAGGTTGTACTTTCATATTTTATTTAAATTATTTACCTGTTTGAAAAAATTGTTTCGGTACCTATTTTTAATTTCATTTTGAAGTTGACATTATTTTTTATCTTCTTTTACTTTAATGAGAAATAACCCAGGATGTTTTTATTTCAAATTCATGTTAAAATATATCATTATTTTTTTTTGCTTATCCCTAGTACACGTGGTACAGGCCATGATAATCATGGTGGGTAGTTAGCGACTGCTTTTCACTGTAAGCGCACCACATGTCTACACATGTGAAAAGCAGTTCGACTTTGCACTTACAAATGTGCCAGAGCCCCGTTTGGTTACTTGCACTCGCTGGTGGGGTTGGACTTTTGCAAGAATCGGGGGGCCATTGGAGCATTTTTTTTTTTTTAATAAGAAAAAAGTGTCCAATGCGGGGATCGAACCCGGGCCGTAGTGGTCGTAAACCAAACGGTTTAACCAGCCTTCCACCGACCCCCCATATATCATTATAAATTTCATTATTTATACGATAATTATTTTTTACCAAAATTATCGAATCTCTCTAAACTATATTTTATATACAAAAATAAAAACTAATATAACTTCTAGAGTGCTATGAAAAATAGACACTTCGGCCAGTTAGAGTTTTTTTTTTCTCAACGTTTCGACAAAAATATTTTGTCTTCGTCAGGAGAAGTAAATAAAAATAAAGCATTTGGCAAGGCGGTAAAATTTTTATTTACCTTTCCTGACGAAGACAAAAGATTTTCGTCGAAACGTTGAGAAAAAAAAACCTCTAACTGACCGAAGTGTCTATTTTCATAGAAATATGAATGCCGGCCAGGCAACCTCTATCTTCAGGATTCTATAGTGCTATTTACTCTTTATCACGCACCGATGAATCAATGCGAGGCCTATAGTGCAAAGTAGAATATTGTTCCATTCCGCATTTATCCTGTTAAAATCCCTACAGATATAATTTATTCAAGGGAGAAAATTGGATATTCATGAGGGGAAAACAGGCTATCTAAATGTATAGATTGGGAAATAAACCCTGACGGAAGATTATGTTTAAAACCAATTTTTCCCCGTTTCATTTATTTATCACAGGTCTTACGAACCATAAATACAAATTCTTTATAATTCCAATGAATCTTTCCAATATAATTAACATATGGATATCACATTACCAACACTTTATAAAATAGGGATTGAAAGCCGTTCTATATGAATGTACAATAAAGATAGATGAAATGTTTAGTAGGAGAGGAAGTTTTAAAAGAGGGAAATAGAAGTGGTGGTTTTACTTAGTGGCAATAAGATGGACATGAATTTCCTCATTACACCTACCTGGCCGCCGCTTTCCCCGGGTTTCTCCTCGCCGCGGGGACGGATGTCGCGGTGGTTCTCCATCGGGGGGTAGAGATAAACATTGTCAACACTGTTCCAAGATTGAGGTAGAAATAAAGCACTGTCGCTAGCGTAGGATATAAATAAAGCACTGTCAACACTGTTGTAAGCTTGGGGTAGAAATAAAGCACTGTCGCTAGCGTAGGGTAGAAATAAAGCACCGTCAACACTGTTGTAAACTTGGGGTAGAAATAAAGCACTGTCAACACTGTTGTAAGCTTGGGGTAGAAATAAATCACTGTCAATACTGTTGCAAGCTTGGGGTAGAAATAAAGCACTGTCGCTAGCGTAGGGTAGAAATAAAGCACCGTCAACACTGTTGTAAACTTGGGGTAGAAATAAAGCACTGTCAACACTGTTGTAAGCTTGGGGTAGAAATAAAGCACTGTCAATACTGTTGCAAGCTTGGGGTAGAAATAAAGCACTGTCGCTAGCGTAGGGTAGAAATAAAGCACCGTCAACACTTTGTAAACTTGGGGTAGAAATAAAGCACTGTCAATACTGTTGCAAGCTTGGGGTAGAAATAAAGCACTGTCAACACTGTTCCAAGCTTGGGTTAGAAATGAAACACTGTAAGCACTATTGATATCTTGGGCATAGAAATAAATCTCTGCCAAAACATTTCAAGATTGGAAATTGGAATATAGAGCACGGTGAACCCTGTTGCAAGTTTTAGGATAGAAATAAAACACTGCCTACACTGTTGCAAGCTTGGGGATAAAAATAAGCAATGTTATAGTTGCTATTGTGAGAAGTACCAACTTTAACAGTGCTATAGTAGCTATTTTTAGAAAAATCAAATACCATTTCTACTACACCATACTACGCGAGTTATATATCTAAAAGTCCCATTTATAAAGTTATCTAAAGGTTCAAGTTATCGAAAGTGTGATGTTGCATGATTAACCACATTTTTCCAGCTTAAGCTTATTTTTTTTTAGCTGGTTCAACGTTCGATAATATTACCAATGATATTGAAATTAAAAATTGGCTGGAGATTAAAATGGCAATTCCGGAGACAGGTTTCGTTACTCAAGAGCCGATTACATAGAAAAATATTTTATAATTTAATGTTTTAGACGCGTATGATTCATTTAAAAATAACAGGTGGCGCGCTAATGCATCATATTTTAATATATCTGTAAAATATGTTTGCATTTACAGGCTGATATGTTTAAGTAAAGCATAAAAAATCAAGATAACAACTTAAATTTACAACATTAACTCCTTTTCATACCATGTTCACATGATGCCCATACCAAATGCAGCATGCCAAAATCAAGATACTAATGTTCAATAGGGATTACGAGGAAGCTATGCAGAATATTAAAAACTTAT